CCACTGAGATCAGTGACCTTTGATGTGTATCACCAGTGATCAGTCAAGTAAGAAACAGTCAAAATATTTTATCAGATTTTCTAAATTTTTGCATGATATTTTCATACAGGACATCTGTTGTTCAAACTCAGGGAAGACTTTATACTGATGAATAAGGTGACCAAGTTTGATAAAGTTTGGAATAGAATTAGTAAAGTTATTATGCACACAATAACAATTATTAACGACGACGACGACGACGACAACAACAACAACAACGCCGGACAAAATGTTTCCCTTAATATAGCTTTCCCTTCCATCTTTGATGGTACGGGCAAGGTAAAAATGTGTAAAGCGATGCTGTTTTTGCTAAAAAAAAAAAATATATATATATCCTGCCTTCACTTTCTCATCCATTTCATTTTGAGAGTACTGGAGGGTCTTATCCCTTAGACAAACATATATTTAGCATGTAACTGATCTTCAAAGCCGCCTAACTCAGTGAGAGTTAATCGTTCACAAATCTAGCTTAATTTAGAACTGCATAAATTCATAATCAGCAGCTAATTTCTCCTATTAAGAATCTCAACATTTGATAGTGTATACATTGGTCAATGAATGGTACTTGCAAAGCGGAAATGCAACTTTAGTAATAAATATTGCATACAGACAGAGTTTTGCTATTCTCACATCACAACAGTATCCATTAGAAGTTACTGACAAATAATAACAGCTACATACATTGGCTATTGCTACAGCTCCAACATCAGTTATTTTGTTGTAGCTTAGATTCAATGAAACTAAGTTTTTATTGCATGTTCTAGGAGTTGATAATGCTTTGCCAATTAACTCAGCACCTTTGTCTGTTATCTTGTTATTTCGCAAACAAATATTTGCAACTCTGAAAAATCGAAGAAAGTATTATAAGTATTACTATCTATAATTAGACTTAACTTTAAATTTATTTTGATAGTCGTATATTTGCAGATGGATTTCAAAAATGAGATATAGATAAATATGATGAATAAATAATACAACTTACGGACTATCATCTGCTATCAGAAGTGCAAAATTTTCCTCTTCCACTGGGTTACCATCAATGGTTAAATTTCTGTTGAAAACAATGGTACCATTATATGAATTTGAATGACCAAAACTCATAGTATTCATAACCTATTAAGAATATCTCATGGTATGGTGAAACCTGTCAACTCTAAACAAAAGGAACTGAGAAAATAATACAAGCAACACCTAATACAATCAAAGACTATTCACTAGCTATTTCATATATTGGTGTGATTTTATATGCACCAGCCTTGAACTGATTCAAACTAACCTTAAGAACAAATAATATGCGCTTCTAATAAACCAAATACACGATTTAGAATTCTTGTATTTACCTTCAAAACATGCAGTAAGTAAGTGCATGCAATTCTAATAGAGCAAATACAGTATAAAGAATTGTTGTGTGTATTAGATGAATATGAATCATTCATATATTCACACAAGGACAGTGTGTGGTTCAATAGCAATAGTTTTAACAGTATTACGGTAATAAAAACAAATTCAATTAACTCCATATTAACATATCCATTGTAAGATTATTTTGAAGTAATGTATTTTTTTGAATATTTTATGAATGAAAAAAAAAATTATAAAAGACAAAAAAAACAACATATCCATAAGAGAGGATACCATTCTGACTGTATTGGCAAACATCTAATGACAAGATAGATCAACTTACTTCAGATTACTACATTCCCGTAAAACTGATGCCAAGTCAGCTAGTGTCTTTCCTGTAAGACTAGTATTCCACAAACTGAAAGAAATTAACAAATAATATAAATTATCACATTGATCAAACCAAAATAGCTACTATATTAAAAACCTCTAAAAGATAGAGTTGCTAATTAGACTTCATTTTTGAGCTTCACTTATTAGTTTCATTTGGGGATGTCATGGCTGATAAAATTTGGACCCAGGGATACCTGAAATGTGGCTAAATTACTTTATTTGTCTGGTTATTTTAACATAAGGAATCTAGTTATGAGTCTAGTTATGTTGGCCACATCTATGGAATGTGAATACCCATTAGATACAAATGTCTGCCGATATATCATTGGTTTTGCCACTCACTTAGTGTTTTCATTCTTTTCTAATATATCTAATGTGGCTCTTGTTCTCAACAAGCATTTGCTATATATTACTGTAAAATCTGTATTAAAAGTCATGGCTTTTATTAAAATTGATACAATGCAACGGAGGGGATGCAGTTTTTATGAGAAATTGTGATTTTTAGTTCTCAATTTATCAAAAAGAATGGGTGCAACTTCTATTAGGGATGCGGCTTCTAATACAGATTTTACGGTAGAAGCCCTTACATAAATTTACAGGAACATTTCAATGACCAAAGTAAGTGACATTTTAATGATTTAGTATGCATTAAATGCAATTTTTGGTTTATATGCACTTCTAATGAAGCAAATACAGTAATTTATATGTGGCTTTTATATGACTTGAACTTATTCAACAGTATTCTGAAAGTATCCAACTTCAAAGTCCTAATTTATAAACAAAGCTTTGCACTGACTGAATTTGTGAAGGAATGAGAAGCATCAAGGCATTCAGGTTGGCATCAAATCAATTGTCTCTATGGTGTCCATTGTTTCATGAACCTATGCCCGGCATTTTTATTAGATTCTACTTACTATAGTGACTGTAACTTTTCTATTTTTGGTAAGCACTGTTTTAGAACACTCATCATAATTTCATCTACTTTCCAACCTAGAGTACAACAATGAAAACAGAATATTATTACATATAAACATAACAAACATCACAAAGCAATTATTGTACAGTTCCTGGACACCTGTGACAATTTCCTTGTAAATCATTCATAGTATGCTGTACTGGGTTCCTGAATAACTTCAATAATTTAAGAGAATCATTGCGGACAATAGGATTGTTGGCAAAACCCAACTTTTGATAACAATCCACACCTGTGCCAAAAAATAAGAGGTAACCAGCCTTGATTGAAATTATATTGTAATAATTATGTTAGAACAATAAAAACAACTTTTGTTTTGAGTTTGTTCATGAATGAGTGGCCTAACTGAGCAATGTAGTGATACATGTACGTATCGGTATATTGTACCAAGTACTGTAAATGCATTAATTATTCACTAGATTATAAGTTTGCTATAGTATAGGTATAATCAGCTAAATTAAATCCATTTTTTTTAGCATATTCATGAACTTTAAAAACAGTGACTTTAAAGGAAATTAAATGTCAGTGAAAATACAATAAAAAATCAAAAAAATGTCCTCGGGCAAGAATATGAAAAACAGCATCATACAATAAGCATAGTTACCTCTAATAAAAATCTCTGTAACTGTAGCAGGTTTGTCTTCATGTTCCATCTCAACCTGTACAGTTGGTTTAAAATATTCAAATTTTGGTTTGATGGTATAAGTTGTTGGTGGTGGTTCCTCTGGTTCTTTTTGTTCCTCCTCCCCATCTTCTGTCACAGTCTGTGCTTTGGGGTCTGCGGGAGGAGGAGTAGGGGGTCGTTTGGGACGGATCACAACAGGGGGAATTTCACCCAGAATTAGTCCAGCTCGTCTACACAGTTCTGTGAAATCTTGTTCAAACACCCCTGTACAGCTGTATGGCTCTGTAATTAAAAAAACCAATATTAAATATTAAATTGCATTCTCAGTCTGAAAATTTGTGAAGAATGCAAACAAATATATTTTGGAGTGAAAACATTGTTATTATTATCAGTTTTACTATTGATGACAATCTCACCTGGTGTTTTAGATTCATCGTCAGCATTCTCTTGTGATGTAGATGAAGCTGCTTTCTCCTTTAATGCTCTCTCCATACGCTTACCCATCTTTACTTTCTTCACAAAGCTATAGGAAAACAAAGTAAGCATGTGTCACAACCAATAGCATTGTTTCATAGAATTCAAACCATCAACAAAAGACAATGTATTAAATTCTGTCAATCGTTTTAATTTCTGGAGCGAAAATCTGAGAATTTTTGTAGCAGTGAAAATTTCCCCGCGGTTCCAAACATGACTGTCAGTGACAGTGCAGTTGCAGACATTTCTAGTTGCAACTTTTGTGCCAAATATAACAAATTTAGTGTTTTCGTTAATGGTCTAAAAAATACTGCGTAAACAGCAATTTTATCTTATTTTAATTTTTCCAATGAGTTGTATAGGATTTATAGGAGAAACATTCGTACTATAGAATCAATCTGAGCAAAGGTTTGATAAAATTATTGATAAACTGATGCCTAATATATTGCCCACACCATTATCTTGTTCACAGTTGTTGTTTTTTACACTGATGTGAACATGTTATGTTGACGTAACGGTCTAAATGTGGTGAAGTGTAAACCTTTTTGAACAGAAGTAGAGCATCAGCTTAACTATTGCGTACAAGTTATTTTGGTGTAAAGCGATTAAATATGGTGGAGGTAATACCATATGCAAAAAATGAATCTGAGTGCCGCAGTCAACTGTATTCAAGTTTATCTGATTTTAAAATTGTAGGCTTGCAATAAGTGTCAAATTTTATAGCCTGTATCTGTTTAACTCAAAATATGATGCTTGGTTCCGACGTACAGATAGAAAGGTCCATGTTCCAACAAGTTTATATGTATGTATATTACTATGACATTTTAAATGGGCCTAAGTTGTCAACTATTTTTGAAAAAATACACAAACAAGAAAGAAACATTGCAACAAGTCAGCACCATTGTGCACATTGTTTATTGATCTTCATATATACGCCTCTTGTAGGAATTGTTGTAAATGTAAGATTATGAGATCCTTATCTTTTTAATTACCAGGGGCAATTTACGCCAATGTAACATGTATATATATATATATATATATATATATATATATATATATATATATATATATATATATATATACGGCTCTGTACATAGATAGCTGCTTTAGCAACAAAATAAGCTATAAAGTATTTTGAGTTGCAGTTTCTTTTTCAAAGTGAAGCTTTGACTTTACTATATAGACAATATGGGGTAAGCAACAGAAAAACATTTTTCCCATGGAAGCTGCCGTAATTAAGTTTATAAATACAATGTAACATTCAGAGGAATGTACACAATAACAGATTCTTCATGCTTGTGTTGTAAACATGCATACACTATTCATGTACAACATACAGCTCTATAATTTACCAATTTCTATGCAGTCTCTAGTTACAGCAGATGGTGACATACATATATCATGAAAACCACTATCTTATTAACCAATATCTCTTTGAACATTGCAATATTCCTTGGAACATTCTTAGCAATGTTTGCTTTGACATCTGTTCGCTGACATTTTTGAAAGACATTGCAGATGGTATGACAGTTGATTTGATTGCTACAAAATGCAGGTAGTGATTTGTGTCTCTTGATGCAATAGGATGATATACATACAGCAAAGTGACCTGGGACAATAATGTGCAAGCAGTTCACTAAATGTACCTATTCATGTACCAGTAATGGCAATAATATTCTGTGCTTTGTCATTAGTAATGTGTTGTCCACAACATGTACATAACATATTTATACATTTTTTTGTATTTATGAGAGAAAAACATTTATGAGCATTCAGTCATCTGTTGAATGCCACCCCTCCCCCCCACCATGGCACTATTATTTTTAAGTTTGATATAATATAAACTTTTATACTTAAAAAAATTAAATAAATACACATTAAGTTCTACCTACACAATCGTTCTATTTGTCTGTGCTGCACTTTTACAGAAAGGTAACCAAAGTTTACATCATTTTTGTATTTTTTTAAAATGATGACACAAAGTATACAATAAATAGGAATACGAACTATTTTCTAGATAAATCTATGTGCAGTGAACTACAAAATAAGGAGATATTGATGTGGAAATAATTAACAACAAGATAGGGGGTACTCACTCTCCTCTTAGGCTCATGATGTATTATGGGTAATGAAGTAAAAACTCACAGGATAACAGAATGAGATGAAGTAAGATACTATCGTCATGACAACAAGTCAGGCATGCAAATGGTGGAAACAATGTAACATATTAAGAAAAAAACATTAATAACAACAAAAACATTGAAAAATGACCACCACAACCAATGATTATACATACTAGTACGTGCACATACAAATTTGTTACTAAGTTATAATTATAAAATGGAATGATTTTTACAAAGTGACATGAGACTAACATGAAATGATAAATGTGATAAAAGATTTATAACTTAGTCAAGATAAATATTTGTGCTGAGTTCATGCTAGACATACATGTGTTAAGAATACCTGGGCTGAAAATTCATCGGAACCACTGCCTCAGATGTCTACGCCTTGAAGCCCATCAAATTAATAATATTTATTTGACAATTGCAAGGCATTTTCAGCTGGTATGCAGGATGGAACGTTGGATGCCCAGCAGAGCACTAAAGTTCAAGCCCTGGGAAACCACAGTATTAAGGTATACCAAGGGACTATAGGTACAGTTAGTTTATTCAAACACAAAGATTACGTCTATTTACATCAATATTAGTATTCCTGTTAATGTCAACACATGTGTATTAGTACTGAGTACTGTGCAGTACATTTATGCTTGTGATTTAGTATTGTGATCAGGGTATTTATAACCAGATGTATTTTAATATTTGAAATGTTTTAAACAATTTATATTAAGATATGGTGGTCATGAGATTTCAATACATGAAAAAAAGCAGTCAATGCAAATAATATATTAAGTTAGTCAAAACAGAATTTATTCAATAATATGGATTGGTTGAAGTATCGTAAACGGTAGATCAATTCAATCTATTATTGAATAAATGCACATTTACGACGTGGTTAACATTTTGGAATTGGTGACGTCGACTCTGATCATCTTGAAAATGATCTCAACAATACGAAATAAAAGTCAATTGAAAATACGATGACGAATTTTCGCAAAAATATAATATATATAAACATACAATAGATTTACTATATTTCTGTCCTGAACGGAATACTGATTGCGATTTAGATGTCCGGAAACGTGAGAAGCCGTCTTAATTCACTCGTAATAACAACACAAAATCAAAACAGAAGACTGTAAACACCATTCCACAGGGACAGCAGTCCAGACCGCAGACATGTTGACGGTTTTCAAAACATTGGGCCGCCATTACGAAACAATTCGAACGACAACGATAATACAAACATGACAATAAACTCAACACATACCACAGCAATCTAGAAGTCGACTTAAGGCAACAGCTAGTGTTATTAAATAATTTGGGCGTCTTGACGTCTTGAAAAACTTGACGTATCGACTACCAGGTCAGTTCAATAGATGCCTAACAACATCTAAAGTACGCAGCCCCATTGGTTACCTCCGCGCTTCGACTATAACAAATAGTACCACTCGAAGACCGCCGTGTTAACTATGTTGCTTTTATTTCTGAGAATTCTGTTTTAATAACAACTAAATAAAAACTAAAGAAGATTAAGTTGGAAATAACAGTGCCAACAACAATAATTTGTATTAAAAACGTCTTGGCGATTTTAGTTTAGTGTCCATCCGCAGTGAAAAACCCAGTTAGCAACCAACATCCGGGTATTTCAGAACCCGGTTTATTAGTGCGCCACAAACGACAGAATTAACCTTTAATTTTGTTTTTGATACACCTGAAATATACATCTCTCGCCACTTCAACTCCCTCCCCGTCATGGCACTATGGGGTGAATTTATAGAACATCATCTATTTATACTGAGTGAAATCAGAGAGTATACAATCCATGCACGGG